CTCCTTGGCTGCGTCCTTCGCAAACATGCTGTCTGCGTGGTGAGAGGAATGTGGGAGAGTCCTGGCAGGAATGGGTGGAGCAGAGGTGAGGGGTTCAGCCAAGCTGGAGGAACAGAGAAATGGGGAGGGCTCAGGAGGTCATGGCTGCATCATTTTTCTCATTTTTCTTTCTTTGCTCAGTGCAGAAGGAACACAAGAGCCTGTCAGAGGGATGAGGAGTTTTCCTACAGGCAAAACAGCCCCAGCCCACCGCAGGCTCCCAGGCCTCCATGGGGTCAGAATTGGATATTAGGTCAGAGTCTGCAAACTGGACAGATCGTTTAGTGATTAGAGTTATGTGAACACTATGGCCTCTGCCCGAGATGCTACTGGGGGACAAGAACAAGGGGTCTAGGGAGATTTGAAAAATATAAGACACGTGAAAACATGTCATGTCCCTGTCCCCCAGTGACAAGACTGCTCAATCAAGTGGTTTCAATTGTATATTTTAAAAGATTTTCTTGATTGTTTCCATTGACAAGAGTCGTAAGGAAAAGAAGCATGGGCTTACTTTTTAAATTACAAAAGCAATACCTGTTCCCTGTAAAAAGTTATGTGCACCATAAAAATTTATGGTGCCATAGTTCTCCATAGTATGAATTAACTAAATTTTATTTATCTGTTCTCTTAGTAGCAAGTAGGTAATTTTCAGCCTCTGCTTTCATACTGATGCAGTGAATATTCTTTCACATCTTTAGGTACTAATGCAAATGTTTCTGTAGAAGAGATTCCTGGAAGTGGAGTTGTTGGGTCAGAGGATGTTTCACATATAGAAATTTGTAGATATTACCAAATTGAAGCTCAAAGTGGGTGCAGCAATTTATAAGCCCACCGAAAATGTGCAGGAGTGCCCAATCTGGGGGATCCTTGAGGTTCCCTGTGGAGCCAGGGGTATCCTGAGCCCCACTGGCTGAGGAGGTTTTTCCTGCTCTGCCTGCCTTTGTGAGTTTGCCACCCTCAGGCTGGCTCGAGCGGTGGAAGCCTCAACCCGTCACAGGTGTATTTTTGTACACTGGGTTGGGATTCACACACGAGTGCTGCCTTTACACTTTCCCAGTTTGGGAGCTGGCTGCATGTGAAATGTGATCAGTGGGGAGAAGGAAATACACCATGTGCAATTATATTTTAGACACTTGCCATGGGGCACTCGTGGGAAGGAGATGTAGGTTTGTGTTCTGCAGGCTCCAGCCTCTGGTGGCCCCTGCATGGCCTTTGTGGTTCACAAAATGTGTAGCTGAATGTCTAAGTTCCCTTCCAGCTTTAAGGCTGGGCTCTGCAGCATTTTGCACAGGTTATTTTTTAAAAATAATTTACTGTTGCCTTTTACATCAGCTATATGTTTTCCTTTCTTATTTAATACATAAAAATGGTCCCAAAGGAATAATGACTACATATGGTCAAGGAACATATTTTTAATGTTATCACAAAAATATTTGTGGGTAGGACCCCAAAATATTTTCACTGTGATGCAAATGATTCTAGAAAACAAAACTTCTACCTTTGGCTACAACTTTCATAAAGCTACAACTTTCTCCCAAACAGGTGACTGAGCATATTTTCACAAGCTTACAAATGCACTTATTTAATTTCTTAGAGAAATCACAATGGATGGCAAATGCCCTGTGGAATTGCATAAACAGTGGTGTCTGGAGCTGGTGTCTCATGAGAGCTGACCACGGGTATCTCTTTTTGTTATGGACTGAATGCTTGTGTTCCTCCAAAATTCGTAAGTTGAAATCCTGACCCCCAGTGTGCTGGTATTAGCAGATGGGACTTTTGGGGAAATGATTAGGTCATGAGGGTGGAGCCCTTATGATGGGACTCATGCTTCTTTACAAATGGACCCTGGAGAACTCGCCCACTGTCTGCCATGGGAGGACACAGGGACAAGTCAGCAGTTTGCAGCCCAGAACAGAAACCTCGCCAGACCCCGGCCACGCTGACACCCTGATCTTGGACTTCTAGCTTCCAGAACTGTGATAAAGAAATTTCTGTTGTTTATAAGCCATGCAGACTATGGTATTTTATAGTAGCCCAAGCTAAGACCCTTCCCACCTCTGCCCTCAGTGACGTTACATCTGTAGATTGAAATCTACCACAGTGGAAGTATTTGCACCATGGAAATCAGCAAAGCCTCCAGACTTTTTTTTCAGAAAGCCAGTTATTGAACATTTACCAGATACCACTACATTTCTCTCTATTTATATTACTATATTTTTTAATGAACCATTTGAAAATAAGGTACAAACATCGTATTTCTTTTCCCCTTAATAAGTGTGTATTCTCTTAAAACGACAGCATTCTCCTCCATTAAAATCGGATTAAAATTTATCCAATATTACTATCTAATCCACATACCTCTTTCAGAATGTCTCTTTTTTCTCCCAACAATATTTTTCATAGGTCCAGGATCCCTCCCACAGTCGTCTATTGCATTTAGTTGTCCTGTCTCTTTGATGTCCTTTAATCTGAAACAGTTCCTTAGTCTTGGCTTGTCTTTATGACCTTGACTTTTTTTTTTTTTTTGAGACAGAGCCTCACTCTGTTGCCCGGGCTAGCTCACAGCAACCTCAAACTCCTGAGCTCAAACGATCTGCCCACCTCAGCCTCCCACAGTGGTAGGAATACAGGCGTGAGCTACCACGCCCGGCCGACCTTGACATTTTTGAAGAGTACCAGCCAGTTTGTCTGATGTTTCCTCATGATTTATGCATTTTGGGGGCAGGAATATCTCAAAAGTGATGCTGTTTTGTGGTATTCCTGCCCCCCAAATATGTACATTATGATGCAAAAGGGCTTTCTCTTCTTCCCCATGTATTTCTTTATTCATTTATTTATGTATATCAATGGGGATACATACATACTCATGGATTCCTATTTTACTTGAGGGGTTACAACCTATACTGACATTAAGCATTTTGATGTTCAGATTTGGCCAATAGAGTCAGCTTTCCCATCCAATTGAAGTCCCCATCATTCTTTGAGCACTTCCTTATTTTCTAGTACAAGATGTTTTAGACCCACCTTCTATTTTCCCTGCCCTAGCCCTGGGGTCAACCATTTCTCTAAGGAGCCTTACTTCCTTTAAGTGGAAAATAGTTTTAAAAACCAAGTTCTGGGTGCTGGGTGTGCTCACTGGTACTGGGGTGTTACTGTTTCTAAGCCCTCGAAGAAGCCAAAGCTAGGAACCATATGTATGCATGCACTCACACATTTATCTATCTGTCATCTGTCTATCGTGTATACGTGTGCTCCATTTGTCTACACACAGTGAAGCCTACACGTACACACTAATATCTCTAATTCTGGTCCACCTCAGAGTTATTCTAGCATTTTCTCCTTTCCCCTTTCTGTATTTTCTGTTTCCCTTCTCTGATGGAGAACCCTGACTTTCAGCAAACTTAGTGAATTTTCTTATTTGCTCAAGCCCCTCCTGTGTGTAGCCAAACCCCTGGGCCCACAGGCCAAAAGCTCAGCTCCAATGGCGCCTCTGCACCACCCTGTTCCCATCCCTGGTGCTGGAGGCGCTGATGGAAATAGTCCCCAAGAAAAGGAAAAGGAAAGGGAAGAAGGGAAAAGACTCACAGATACTGTATTTATTCAGTGTGTTATAATCCATTTTTGGCATTATGCATTTTTATGTTCAAATCGTTCCATAATTGGTCAGTGAAGCCCCTTCAACCTGGTTCCTGTGTCCTACTGCTAGGTCCCTATGACTTTCTGAGCACATTTTCACTTGACAGTAGAAGATGTTCAAGGTTCATGTTCAAATTTCTTTGCCCCAGGCTTGGAATCAGATGTTTCTTCAACTTGTTTTAGTGGGAAATGGTATTTAAAACTAGGATCTGAGTTGCAGGTGAACTCATTGCTTATGAAGTGTCCTTGCTCCTAGACCTTTTTAGAGCTAGCAAATATATATGAAAAATCTAAAACTATACAAATTAGCTGATCCCTCTAATCCACTCCCCTCTTTTCTCCTATGCCAGTTTCTTTCCCATGGCCCATGGTGGGCACCCTGGCTCCCGGCAAAATTAATATATTTTTACTCATTTGCTCAGTCCTACAGTACACACAAATGAGCCTTGGAATTGCCTCTTTTCTTTAAAGAAAATCATATTTACATAGGCAAAGGTCCCTCTCGTTGCCCCCCTCTGCGGCGAGTTAGCTATGCTCCCAGCAAAAAATCAGGTCCCTTAGGTAGGGGTCGTTGCAAAGGATAAGAAAATAATAGAAAATGGAAAATAATAGAAATAAAAAAATGCACAGAGACGAAGGTATAGTTTTATAGATTTATAAAAAGATAAACGGCAAAGCGGGGTACTCAGGGGTCCTTACGATATCCCCGTGAATCGTAAGGCCACGAGTGAAGTTTTACGTGGGTATTTATAGGTACAGTGATCAGTTGCCAGGGGTAACAGATTTACATAATAACAGGTAGGTAGTTTTATGTTAAAAGTCTTTCAAAAGGCTTCTATAGATCCCTTAACTAACTCTGGTTACAAAATCTTTCAAGGACAGACTTCTAAGTTCTAAGGTAAAGCTATCACTTAACAGAAGGGTTAAACAGAGATATAGTGGCTCCATATTTCTTTATCTAGTTATTGCAGATAGAGACAGGTCATCAGAAGTCAAGCAGGAACTGTCCCTTGGGCTAATTGTTTTTGGCCACAGGTATCTGTCTCTGGGTGGACACTCTTTAATCAGCTCTCATCCCATGATTCCTTGCAGACCTTGCTTTGTCCTTCAAAGCAGGTGAGAACCATGGGGTTGAGACCGAAGCAGTCACCTTGGAAAGCAGCTGCTACTGACCTTAGAGATGCCCTCCTGAGGTGGAGCAGCCTTTGATATGCAAACTAACATGTTCACATATTCTTTCAGGGCAGAGCTCTGCAAAACTCCTGAGATCATTTCTGTCTCTAATATAGTAATACTAATTTACGGAGCAAAGCCCCTCCCCCGCTGCGCTTTGCTGACGCTTTGGTGACATTTTGGTCGGTGCACTTGCTCACTTCAGAGGCAGCAGGAGAGCAAAGCACTGGACAGGTATCCCGGGAGCCGCCCAGGGTCGCCAGAGCACCTCACCACAGGCCCAGGGCTGGGGCTGAGGGGTCATAAGGCTGTAACCACGTGTCATTGTCTTCCTCTTCGGGGATGGCTGTCCCTCTAGCTGGCAGCCGGCAGATGGTCAGGGGATCTGCGTGTTCGCTGCCATCGTGGGCTCTGGGTCTGAAATAGGCACAGAGCGCGTCTGGGAAGGTGTCGGTGAAGGTGAAGATGTGGGAGCCGTCGGACACGTTGAAGAAGGACAGCTTTCCGGCACCGCAGTCCAGGAGGACGCCCACGCGCCGGGGGGGCACGCGCAGGGTGAGCGCGACGCGGTGCGGGTCCAGCACGAAGTACTCGCAGCCGTTCCACAGCCCCATCACCCAGTAGCCGCAGGCCGGGCTCAGGCGCGCTGGCCCCGTGCGCGGCACCGCGGCCAGGCAGGCGCCCAGGAACCAGCGGCTGCGGCAGCCCACGTGCACCTCCCAGTAGTGGCGGCCGGCGGAGAAGCGCTCGCGGCTCAGCACGCACTTCTGCTCCGAGAACCGCTGCGGGTCACTGGGCGCGGGGCCCTGCGCCACCCCGCGGGAGGACACACTCATGCCATCCTCCGTGACCTCCAGGCTGGGGTGAGCCGAGGCATGATCCAGAGTCACGTCCACTGCAGAGACACAGGGTTAGGGCCTGCCCAGGGCGGCTCTGGGCCCTGTCTGTCCCCCTCCCCTGAGAGGCAAACCGCTAGTTTCTCTTGGTGGACTGATGGGCAAAATCGTCACCGCCATCCGCACCCTTGCTACCTGCCTCCCCAGGACCGAAGTGGCATGCAAGTCACTCCTGAGCATTTGATAGTGGCAGGAGGAATCCTATCCTTTCCTGAACTGGAAGTTCCCTGAATTCCACCTTGGTGCCACAGAGCCCAGAGATAACAAACGAGGTAAATTCATTGATGGAGCCAAGTCCCGGTCAGGGGAAGGCACTATGGGCTGATTCTGTTCCCTGCTGGTCCCACCACCCCGTGTGACCTTGATATCATCAGATGAGCTCTAGGTTTTACAGCAATTTTAGGATTTTAAAAGGGCCTTTGAGATCATCTAGTCCAGTGCCCTACACTCTACCCCATGCCCCCAAACACCCCATGTGACAGATGGGGACCTAGAGGATCCTTTCTGTCAGAGGTCTGAGCGGTTCCTTACAGGGCCAAGAGCAGCCTTCCTGCCAGACAGAAAAAAATCCAGTAACACCCAGAAAGTTATGCGTTTGGGAGCATGTGTATGTGCGTGCACACAAGCATGTATGCCTGTGTATGTGTGTACATGCAGGTGCATGTGCCATGTATGTGGCAAGTGTGCATGTGTGTCTGTGTGTGCAGGCCCTGAACTGCACTCCTGGAAAGACCCTTCCTCTAATCTCAGTTCTTTCCACCTCCCTTCTGTTTAAGATCCAGCCAATGTAAGCCACAAATCAGCTTCTCAGCTTCAGTTACCTGCATATTTTTGGGCTGCTCTCCACTCTGAAACCAAACAGAGACAGAAAAGAGGCTCAGAAATCCGAGTCAGTAACTCTGGAACCTTGAGAGAGGCTCAAGATGCATAAGGGATGCCTGCAAATCGAATTACCCCATTCCCACCGTGACAGCTGGTTTGGATCCAGACTGGGCCCACCATGGTATTTTCCTGAAAATTTGGGATTGTATAGAGGGCTGGTGTCAGAGCTAGGCTATACTAGAGCTATGTGCACACTGATTTTGTGTTGGGAAAAGCAGGAGAAGGGAGCTTGTGGGCAAAGAGAATATATTCCAGCATCTTAAATTCCCTGAGGGATGGAAATGAAGCCTCAGCCCCTAACTGGCCAGGCTCAGTCCCCAGGACTCCCAGCGTGGAGCACAGCTCTTGTCCCAAGATGCCCTCTAGATAACCTGTCTTCCCTTAACAGGCCTCCTTTCTATCTTGAGCCATTCTGAGTGGATTTCTGTTTTGTTTTATTTTGTTCTGTTTTGCAACAAAGAGATCACCAAGTCACAAAATAGCAAAAGCAATACAAGACATTCCCAGACCTAGGTAAATTTATAGCAGGGATTTTCAACCCTGGTTTTGCATCAGGATAACCAGTGGAACTTCAAAAACATACACGTCTTGTGTAGAATAACTCAATTCTGTTAAAGTATTGACTCTCCTCAGGTTTGTAAGTTCAAAGCCATCCCATGCAAAACTTCTTTTGGATTTAAGGAGCTTCATAAATTTATCCTAAAATTTATATTTTAAAAAGGTCTATTAATTTTAAAAAGGAAGTGGAAATGGGGAAGGAGAATTTATACTTTCAGATACTATAAAATGGAATATGCACCAAAGTTGGTTGCCCACATCAATGGGGGATCAGGGGGGATGCAGTAAATGGCATTGGAGAAAAATCACTGGATTCTCACCCAAAATCACATAAAATGGCAAGTTCTAGATTGATCACAAACCTACACATAACACATATAAAGTTAATAGAAAAAAGTGTAAGAGAATATGTTTGTGACCTATGTGTGAGGAAGCTCTTCTTCAACAAAACTTCAAAAATGTAAACCATAAAGTAAAAATTTGATGAATTAGATTTTATAAAAGTCAGTGATTTCTTTTCAATAAAGGGAACCATGGACAAAGCTACTAGCAGATGACAGACTAGAGGGAATAATGTTATGTGTATATATCCCTATTAATTGATAAGAAAAGACAGCAATCCCAGAAGAAAAATGGGCAAAGGCTATAAAATGGCAATTTTCAAAAGAGGTAGTCTCCGAAGTCAACCAGCATATAAAGAGATGAGGCATTATTATCCCTACTGACTGGCCAACTCGGAAAGCTGGCTCACACAGATGTGGGCACGCAGAGCCTCCACGCAGGGCGGCGGCAGGATGATGGCGCTGCCTTCGGGGATCCCCCCTCCCACTTAGTGCATATACCTCCCATGGGCCAGCAATCCCTGTCCTGTGTTTATGTCCCAGAGAAATCTCCACAGAGGCAATGAAGTGACACATTTGGGGCTATTCACTCAACGTTGTTTGTGGTGGGGAGGAGTCAGAGGCAGCTCGTGCTCCGGGAGGGTGGCTGACTAAAACGGAGCACTCTGCGGCTAGGAGGAACAGACCGAAGGCACACAGGCAGCAGAGATGGATATTATAACACAGCGATGCATGAGAAAAGCAAGGAACAGCACAGGACTATAAGTGTCATCTACATGAACTATAATACAGGTGCACAAAATACATATTCACATTTTGCAAGGATACATACAAAATATACACATCACACTGCTTTATGGATGGGATGGGGGGAAGTATGGGGAGAAATATTTACATGTACAGTAACATATCCACCCGCACCCACTGTCAGAGCCTTTGAGGGTGGGCACTGGGAGTCTAGGTGACTCTGATGTGCAACCAGGATTGAAACCAGTGGTTTGCAGGGTGCTTAGGCCTCAGGAATACATAAAAATAAAACTCGAGTACGACCTCTACCCAGTGACATAGATTAACACATGCTGTGTGAGGCTGTGCAATGAAACCAGAATGAAGTGTCGTTGGTTAATGAGAATGAGCTGGATTGGGGTGCTGGGACATATGAGGAACACAGAGAAAGAGTGGGCTTCACTCACCAGCCTGGCCTTCAGCCCTTCTCCAGTCTGAAGCAGCCAAGGGAAAACCAGGAATTAGAACAACAGGGCCCTGAGCTTCCCTGCTCGCTCATCACAACTCGCACCCAGCCCTGTGCCCTCCCCTCTCTCCTGCCACCCACACAGCTAGCAGGGGGCCAGCCTGGGCAACATACCTGGGTGGGAGATGAGAAGATACATGGATAACCAGATGCAAAAATGTGGGTGAGAAGAGAGAGTTCTAAGAGGGGTCACTTACCAAGCTCTGTTTGAAGCTTCTCTGTAAACAGAGCACAGGGAGAAAACATCAGCCTTCAGTTGATTAACCACCTTCCCCAGGCAGTTAGGTCACCGCGAAGAGATTCCTCAGTCTTAACCCACTGCTAACCCCAACTTCGTCCTCGCCTCTTCATGGGCCTAGAAAAGGAGGCCCATCTGCAGGATTCTTATGCCTTATCCTATCTGCTCAAAGGCAGAAATAAGCGCAGGGCCCGGAAGGGGACACAGGCCTTAATACTGAGGTGCCTCTTCCCAGGGTTCAGCTGGTTCATTCACCCTGAAATCACAAGCTCTTCCTGAGGAGCTCCTGAATAAGTCCAGACTGAGCACAGCCTGTGTGAGCCTCACCAGGCACTTAGTGGGTACATTATTTAAAGGACTGGAAGGACATCATACCCAATTACTTCCTCTGACTGGATACCAAGGACTCTGACATTTTGCCATTAGAAAAGAAACGTCACACTCTATTAAAGGTAAATGCTCCCAGGAAAGGCAACATTCTATATCTATTCAGACTATGTGTTAATGACTTAGGGCTGTTTCTTTAATTCCCCTTGAAGGACAAGACAGACTGTGAGACAAGCTTCCTCAACCTCACGGTTTTGTCTCATTGCTCCAACCCCTGCACCATGGTGGCCTTTCCCTCGGTCTTCCTTCCTCTGGGTTCACTCTCTCCTCCTCTGTACAGACACAACCCCGCCCCCCGATAATTTCAACTTGCTGAGTCCCGCTGGGGAGAAAAGTGAATGTGGAAAGTTACTCCCACTTTGGTGCAAATTATAGGTGCCACCCTTCCTAGTGGATTTTTATTAAAAAGAGAAGGATTTCCTGGGAAGATGGACCAGAGGGAGTAAACGTTTAATTTTTTAATTGTGGAATTTTAACTAATTCAGCTAATTTGCAGGGGAGGAGCTGGTAGGGTCTGTCCAGCAGGTCTCAAGCAGACCTCGCTGGCCGCTGCGCAAAGGTAGACAGCCATCCTTTGCAGCCTGTGGAAGTAGAGAGGTGGGAGGCTCACAAGATTTACACAGTTGCCATCTGTCTCGGTCCACAGGGAGCCTAAAACCGCTGAACCTGTCCCCCCGCCACGTGCGCTGGCCTACAAGCAGCACTGTGTTGAGGCACCCAGAACTTACCCAGCTCTGCTGTGAGTTTCCCTGGAGAAACGAAACAAAACAAAAAACAAGCAAAAAACAAAAGAGTCAAATGTCTCAGGTCGGGGACTGAGTCAGACAGGACGAAGGCCTCATTTCCCCGAAGTGCTGAGACTCCAGGGTCCCAGGCTGGACAGGACAGGGCGTCTCCAGGCAGGGGCAGGGGGAGCGCACGCCTCCGGCCCACCCCGTCGCTGCCCTGCTCCCACGGCCCGTGGGGCTGAGCTCCCGTCTTGGTGACCAGCGCCCTGCCTTGTGCTGGTCCGGGAGGTGAGCGCGGAACGCCCTCCGCGCTGCTTACCTTGCTTCTTTGCAGCCTGCTGCTTTAGCTTTTCTGAAAGCAAGAAGGCAGGGGAGAAGACTGAGCCGGCCCCCTCCCTGCCTGTCTCCAGGTTCCATCCCTGCAGGGCGCTTCCTCAGGCCCCCTGGGTCCAGCTCCCGCCAGGTGGCCCCCTTTTCCTCCCGAGTAAAGCCGGCTTTGGGAAGGACCCGGGCGCCCCCTACCTTGGGACCTCCGCTGCTTCTGAAGGAAGCACAGCGCCGGCGTGCCCAGGACGGCCAGGAGCAGCGGCAGGGCCGCCAGCGTCCCGAGGAAAGCTCTCTTCCAGGGGGACGCTCCGGGTAAAAATACGTCTGGAAAACGCCCCACAGAGAGTTGTCCCTATTTAGGCGCCACCAAACACGCAGAGACAAGATGACCCTGGAGCCCGCGTGACCTCCGGTTGCTGGCCACACCTTCGGGCGCACCCGAGCGGGGGCGCCGGGGGTGGCGCCCTAGGATTCGCCTCGCGGGAGCGGGACGAGAAGGCGGGCGCTGGTGGCACCCCACCCGCCTTGGAAGCTCTGTGACCACAGCCCCGACCACCCTCCACTCCTTCCCACTCTTGCCCTGTGACCCAAGGACGCGAGAATCCGCGGTGCTTTGTTTGTGCCCGGAACCGGTGAGCTACTGCTCTCCACGCGGCTGCTGCTGCGCGATCCACAAGTCACCTCCCCGCTTCTTTGCAGATATTTGGCTTCTACCTCTGTTCTCCCCACGCTTTTGGAAGAACTGACAACACAGCCACGTGCGTGCTGACCTGCAGCTTCCCTGCCCCGCCAAGGGCAGCGCCTGGACTGTGGCCAGAAGGCGAAGAGAGACGGCGAAAATGCAGAGTAACCCTTGTGGCAATTTAATAGAGTGATTTTGGGTCTGTTGAACCTAATTATTAAAAAATGGTTCTTTTATCTCAGAGATCTTTTTTAAAATATATTTTTTTGTTTTGTATTGTGGTAAAGTGCACATAACATAAATTTACCGTCTTTAAGTGCACGCCACTTAAAGTCACTCCTCCGCAGGCCATTTTTAAGTGTACAGTTCAGTGGCATTAAGTCTATTCACCAATATCCACCTCCAGAACTTTCTCATCTTCCCAAACTGAAACTCTCTGTACCCATTATACAATAATTCTCCAATCTCTGCTCTGCCCAGCCCCTGGCAACCACTCTCCATGTCTACGAATTTCACTACCTTAGGTACCTCATATAAGCGGAATCATACAATATTTTTCCTTTTGTGTCTGGTAAATAATTCAAGTCAGTGGTCTTTTGGCTTTTAATTTTATTTTTCTACCAGTGCGTTTTTATTTTATCACACTGGATCACAATGGATTGCTCTTTCACCACTCATCAATTGTGAAACACTGACTCAAGTTTGAGAACAAGGGCTTCAGGGCCTGATGTCACTCTGACCTGCCACCCTCACCCTGGTCCCTCTGGCCTTGCTGCCCTGCTAACAGCCAGATGTGTTCCCCTCTCTGGGAATGCCCTTCCTGCAGATATCCATGGAACTCATGCCCTCTGTAAAGGGGTCCATGCATACAAATATATACAAATCGAAACATTTATATGTAAATTTAATAATAAATATAAATAATATAAATGTAAATTTATATAAAGAACTAAAAAGAAACTATTGTATTTTCCCTGGTACAAAATGAGAAAAAGTCTCCCTCTTCTTCCCTTTTCTTAGTTCACTTTCTTTAGAAGACTTGTAAGCTCTTTCTCTATGTATGCCGGCTTTACAACCCAAGAATGTTTTTCTTAAGTGCTATTTCTCTGAAATGTAAACATCAAGGAGAAAATACCACATGGAGGTCCAAGTCGCAGAGGAGTTTAGCTCAGGTGTCTGGCTCCAAGTTGTAACTACATGCTTGCCATAGAGTCATCACATGCTTTGTTTTCCTTTGGATAAAAGCAGTTAGCAACACAGATGGCCAGCCCAATTACTAGGGGGATTTAGAATAAATTGTGTGCTGCCAAGTCCTACTTGAAGACAAGTTATTGTTTATCTCCAGAGCATGTACTCAGTGGGTTGTATCTGCCTGACTATATCAAAGGGTGACATTTATTTCTGTTATAATTATATAACTATTGATTTGGACTGATGTGAAAAATTGTCCATAGGTTGAGTTTGTCCTCAAAACTCAAAACAATTAGAGCCATGAACACTAAACCCTTTGGTGGGTGCCCATGGTAACAGTTTGATAAAACATAATGACCTCACTTTCAACTCACTACCTAAACATCTACTTCCCTGACCCCACTGTATTCTCCACTGGAATGAGAACCTGAGTGCAGGGACTTGGGGCACACATGGGCGCTAAATAAATATTGTTTGAGGGATGGAATTAGGAACGTGGGCTCTCATGATGACCTCTAATGAGTAGAATTCTTGAGTTTTAATGCATGACCTTTGGCACAGAAATGTTGGCTCTCTGAGGCCCTGCTTCCTGTTTGGATTGTCAGTTTTATTCTTAGCATGTTCCTGATATCCAACTTGCTGCCTTTTCAGCTGTCAAGGCCAACCCACCACACACGCAGCCAGGTCCAGTACCACTGTGTCTTTTTGGACCGCTGCTGGGCTAAAGCACATGGAGAAAGTGATGACTGGGAAGAGGAGTGTGATTTGGCAACCACTGACCTGCTATCTGGACCACCAACTCTTTCTTCTGGCTCAGGAGGAGATTGTGGATGGAGAAGGACACATTGCTGTGGGCTCCCCCTTTGACAACCACAGACGTTTCCAGACTGAACAGGCCCTGGGCATCCTGGATGATGGCTTCGGACTCTGGAGGCAGGCACTGTCCCTGATGGTCTCTCCACTGAGCCTTGGGTTTGGGGTACCAGCCACTGGAGCTGCACCTCAGCTGAATGCTTCCTTCCTTGAAGCCCTCAAGGGAGATGTGAGGGTCCGAGCCCAGCCCTGGGAGAGGCAGGAGGAGTGGGAAAGGTCAGGCTTCTTGGAAATTGTGCATGAAGTTCACCATTTGTAGTTACCATAAAGCATCACAAACTATGACTGCTCTTAACACGTGTGGGCTCGAAATCCCCCATCTATGGATTATAAATGACAGTCTAAATCAGTGGTGTCATGTGGGGACAGTACTACCCCTGAGGGACATTTGGAAATATGAGGGGGTCATTTGGTGGGGAAGGGCTGCTGGGATTTAGTCATATTATGTAAGGGACAATCCCCCTAGAATGAAGAATAGTCCCACCCAAAATTCGAATACATCAGAATTATGAATCTTCTGTCTCTTTTGAATCCCACCAGATTTCCAGTGCCTGTGTTATAGGCACTCCTTTATCTGTCCATCCTCATGGAGTTAGCTTTATATTTTGAATATGCAAAACATTAATGTGCTTTAAGTGTAATGCTGAATAAGAATATCTACCAGGAAGGAATGCCCCAGGCCTTTCTCTATCCTTCCCATTCCATCACGCCCCACCTTAGTTAACCAATTTCATTAGTTTCTAGTTTATCCTTCCTGTGTTCCTTATGCAATGTTTATCCTTCTTTCTTACATGCACAAATATATATTATTGAACCTCTTTTGCATCTTGGTTTTTTCTCTTAACAATGCATCCTAGAAATCACTCCACATCCCTTCATAGAGCATCTCCCATTCTTTCAGCTGTATAGTACCTACCACTCCATTAGGTGTGTGGATCGTATTCAGCTATCATGCTTGAACATTTAGGTGGCTTCCACTATTTTTCAATTATAAATAATGCTACAGAAATTAAATTTATAATATGCCTTTTGCACATTGGAGGTGTTGGGGATGTACCGTCAGGGTAAATTCCTGGAGGTGAGCTTGCTGTGTCAGAGGGAGATGCACAGCTAGTCCTCTTAGGCATTGCCAAATCCCCTGCTCAGGAGCTTCCCAACTTTGAACTCCTCTAATACCATATGTGCGAGAGGACTTGCTCTCCATATCTCCACCGAGGGCGTGTGGAAGAACTTTTGAATGGTCAGTCTGATAGCTAAAGAATTGCATTTTGATGTAGCTTTAATTTGCCTTTCTCTCATTATGAGTAAAAATAATCAACATTTCATATGTTTAAACATCATTTGTATATTTTCTTGTGAACTGTTTCTTTTGTTCATTTGCTAATGGACCTATCCCTTTCAGTTTGTAATAGTTTTTTTTTTTTTTTTTTTTTTTTTTTTTTGAGACAGAGTCTCGCTTCGTTGCCCTGGCTAGAGTGAGTGCCGTGGCGTCAGCCTAGCTCACAGCAACCTCAGACTCCTGGGCTCAAGCAATCCTTCTGCCTCAGCCTCCCGAGTAGCTGGGACTACAGGCATGCGCCACCATGCCGGCTGATTTTTTCTATATATATATATTTTTAGTTGTCCAGATAATTTCTTTCTATTTTTTGGTAGAGACGGAGTCTCACTCTTGCTCAGGCTGGTGTCGAACCCCTGACCTTGAGCAATCCACCCGCCTCGGCCTCTCAGAGTGCTAGGATTACAGGCGTGAGCCACCGCGCCCGGCCAGTTTGTAATAGTTTTTAAAAATTACATATTCTCCCTGAGATTCTCTGTCTCCTCTTGAGCAAAATGGCTGTGTCTCCTTCTGCCCGGCTGGGGATGGCCAGCCCCGCACCTGCTACCTCCAGCTCCCAGACAGCTTCACTAGAGAAGTTGCTGGAGAGGAAACGGCACCCGAACAGGCCCTCGTCAGAGGGCACGACACTGTGAAGCTGCAGGACCACGCTGCCATCCACGATGTCATCCTTGATGAGTTTGGTTCTGTTCTGGAACTGGGCCATCTGCAGGCCGGGGAGCTCCTGCCGCTCTCGGTACAGGTGGACCACGTCGGAGGCACGGCTCCGGAACCAGCGAATCTCCATGTGCTCGGCGTCCAGGAACGGCGACAGGTGGCACGGGAACTCCACCTCCTCCCCGACGAGGGCCAGGATAGGTTCCCCAGGGCCTACCACCTTGACCTCCTCTAGGATGAGAAGTCAGAACAGCCAAAAGCAACTCTCAGCAAATAAAAAATTTTTTATCCCATCTCTTTGCAGCTTAGGAATCTATAGTAAACCATTCAAACGAGGAAGGTGAGACACTCTAAGGACAACCATCCAGGTTTCTTGAACAAGTAATTGTCACGGCAAAAAGTGAGGGTGCACGACTGAAATGGAGGCGCCTTCCTTTGTTCACACTATTTGAGGCCCCTTGTTGCCCACCGGGTGAATATCCAATAAACTTTCTACATGTTTCCTGCTCCAGCTGTCTCTCCACACTGATGTCTGGCTACTTCCCTGGGTACACCCTGCCTCAGTTTACCCTCCCTCTGTCATCTTCCTGGAGAATGTGCATCCTGCAGGGCTCTGCTTAAACAGTACCTTCGCTCCAGGGCTCCTCTTGGCTTATCAGGGCAAAGTCAGTTTTCTTGCAGCCCTGGTCACATAACTGGGCAGCCATTTATGTCACATCCATCCCCCTTTCTTGACTACAAACTGCCTGGGGACCTGGGCTATGCGCAGTCACCCTGGTATCGCTGGTTTCCAGCTCAGGTGATGAGGGAATCGTTATCGCATTATAGTTTACATCCTCTGTTGGCTGCTTCTTCATGAGAGATGGTAGGACCCAGTGAGGTTTTTCCTGCCCTCTAAAAGCTATTCAAGGGGTGGAGTTAAAAATATTTACCAACTGGTTCAGCACAAACACAGAACAGTGACTCTCCTGGCACCCTCCCACTGCGCTCACTGCTGTGCCTGTGGACCCTGGGGTGCTGGGGAAGTGTGTAGAGGAGCTGGGGGTGGGTAGGTTGAGGAGAAGCACCGCAGGGCTGCCTGGTACTCAGGGGCAGTGGCTCTTCAACATCAGAATGGAAACCTTCTTATATTGATACTTTAGCATCTGGCATGGCCCGGTACTATGTTATAAGACCCTAGCCCTGGGGAGCACCTGGCAGGAGGGGTAGGCAGAGCTGAGGCGCTCAAGTCCTGGCTGGTTGGGCTGCAGATCAGGCACGCTACCTGAGTACAGCTCCTCAGGCCGGAGGAGGAGGAGGAGGTATGTGAGGAAAACGAGACTGCTGGGCAGAGACACTGGCTTCAAGGAGTCCAGGAAGACTGGGAAATCTGCCATCTCTCGTTAGCAGTAGGGCCACCTGGACAGGAACAAAGAGATGCTGGAGTGGTGCAGGGAGCTGGAACTCAGTCCACCAGGCCTGACATCTGTTTCTGCTCAGTTATTTTTTGTGTGATTCTTGAATTCCTTACTAGCTTTAGTGCCTGGCTTCTTTTAAACTATGGTCGGACGTGACAGCTGCTTCTAGTTTTACTAGACAACACCATTAATGGCATCACTGGCCTTCCTCGGGCACCCAGAGCAGTGAGGGGACAGGGCCGAGGGGTCCCAGAGGAAGCAGCTTCTGACCTGCGTATTGTGTAGAGCCAGGAATAGAGCCATACAATGCGTGAGGGTTCAGCAACACCCCCTCTGGATTTAGTGACTTTCCCCAAACAGGGAAATCTCTGAAGGATCTCAGACGCATTTCCAGTCTCCTGGCCTCAACACCGTCTACTCAACCTTGCTCCCACTTCCCTTTGGCCTGGAACATCAGGTCCACAACACAGGAACAAACACAGAGTTCTCTCCTTCAGAAGTGGCGTGCATGCTGTGTGGCCGCCTGCCGGCTCCAACAACATCCTGGGACACTTTCCTCCAGGCCTGAGACCTCAGGTGGCATCTCCCAAAGGTCAGCTGGTAACTGTCCCTGTGTCTATAGCATCTTGGAGGCCACAGTGATGGAGTCATCCCATCTGGCTACCCCTTCCCCACCTGTGGTCCAGGAGACCCAGACCCAGCTCTGACAGGGCTGTCTCCTCTCCTCTCTGATGTCCCTTTGAGCCCCGAGGTAACAACTCACAGTCAGAGACTGGGGTGTGGCCTTTGAATCTTCGGGCAGGTACAAACCTCTCCACGTTTCTCTTCCATTTACTCGTAGGATTTTAGGCAGATTTCATAACTGACTGAGACTCAATCTCTTTGCTTGAAAAATGGAAGAAAGCATGGGTGGCTAGGTACTCTTGAAGTAAAAGTCAGCACCTCCTCCCTCTCCCTCTCCCTTCCAAACATCCGCTCTCTGACTGTTTCCTGAGACTGCGCCCCTCACCTTTCATCCCATCACAATGTCCCCAGAGGAGGAGCCACAGTGGGCTTCTCTCCCCTGACCCCTCTGTCTCTCCTTCTGCCCCCACTGGGCTTTCCTTCTGAAGACCTTGGCATGGCACATGTTCCTTCTGTCCTGTGGCTACAGACCCCTGGCCACACTGTCAGCAATGCCACTGGCAAGGTGTGGATGAAGGATTTTAAAAGCTTCAGGGCCCTGCGGCAGCAGAGGAAGGGGCAGAGGGATGTGCGTGGGGTGAGGTGAGGAGCAGGGGAGGGCCTGGGCTGGCAGTGGAGGAAGGGCAGTGGTCTAGGAGGCATGTGGGCAGGTGCTGGTGGTCCTGTCCTCCTGGAGCCCACAGTGAGGGGATGGCCGAGGAGCAGGTTGGGGCAGCCCCATGTATTTGAGGAGGGGTCCCAGAGCGGGCAGGTTGGGTCTCCCTGGAGAGAGCCTGGCCACGCTGCTGGCTGGCAGTTGTTGGAGTCATTATTCATACGATTCCCAGCACGGGCAGAGGCCTCAGGTAAAACCGTAGCTGGACCATCTGGCCTCTCACCCTTAGTGGCTCTGGTGGGAACCTGTCTGTGACAGGCTGGGAGACCGGCGTGGGAGTGTCTGGAGCAGGGGCCACCCTGGCTGTGTGCTTTCTCAAACTCCCCTCTTCCCTTCTCTTCTCTTTTGTGCCTCAGTCTTTTCTTTGGGTCTCCAGGCCCAGGTTAGCGCCCTACGAGGACACAAGCAGGAGGGTGCATCAGCATCCAGCTAATGCCTTCCAAAAGGAAAGGGCTCATACTATGTCTGTGTATTCATTTGGATGGGCGGGATTCTGAGGAATTAGTCAAGATTGCCTTAGGTGGTAACAGGGGTCCTCCCACAGCAGGTCATGAGACAGGCGCCACGGCTGGGGGAGGGGTGGCCTCGCAGGAGGAGCACTGGCTTCTATTTTCTTGGATGGGGGAGGCTGCCACCTCCCAGGGGGCAGGGGCAGTGTGCTCCAGAACTGTGGAAGTGCCAGAGGGACCACAGTTCTCTGTGGTGATACATCCATGGGAGTCCCATCACTGAGCCCAGGGTGGGAGAGGGCGCGTGCGCACACACACACACACACACACACACACACACACGCACACACACACACACACACACGAGTCATAAAGCCTAACATGAATCGAGCACTTTCTATCTACCAAGCACTTACCTACACCAGAAGTATTAGTATTATTATTACTAATAGATCCAAATTACAGATAAGGAAACTGAGGCACAGGAGCTGAGTGACTTGCCTCTGCACACACGGCTGACAGATGGTCTATGGGGTTCCCCCCACGCTGTCTGCTTCTGGAGCCTTAGACTCAGTCCTCCCCACCTGTGCTCTGTGTCAGGTCTGGGTACACCCTCCAGTCACTCCTGTTACCCCAAACCAGGACTGTGTCAGGAATCACCTGGCTGCAGACAGCGCACTGACTGGCCGCCACACAGACGCATTGAAGAAGCGGCCGCGTCGCAGGTGCCAGCCCCTAACCAACCACCCAACGAACAAGTGAGTAGAAAATTTAAAATCCCACTACCAGACAAAAACAACCTAAAACTGGAGTCCCCTTAAGACTCTGTCAAAAGCATCTTCTCATCCAGGAGGCATATGTGTTTGGTCCCTTTGGTCCCAGCGCTCAAGATCATCACCTTGAAAGTCAGAGAGACTGAACTGGCCGCCACCCGCAGGCAGCGTCAGTGACTTCTAAGCAGCACTCTCCTCCCTGTTTGGTGCCTGGAGTCTGCCCTTTCCCACCTCACTCTCCAGTCGAAAGGCTCTGACCCTTACTGAAGTGCAAGCACCCCTTGAAGGATACACTTTCCAATCTCAGCTCTTCCCATCACAGTCTAAATGGATTTCAGATTCTGTTCCTGGTGAGGAGGTTTTACTATGGGAAGGAACAGGAGTCAGGACATGTTGGATATTTGGGGAAGGCAGAGAACCCAGGGAGGAGAAGGATGGCCCAAAAGGGGCCTCGGGCTGGAGCTGAGCTCCACTGGTGGCTACATTCCCCCCATCCCAGGCCCGGTCCCTTCCCTCCTAGAAGCCTCCAGCTGCTCCCTGAGGAAGACACAGGGAGGAATAGGGGCTGTGCAGGCAGATGCTGAGAAACGCCACTGCCACCCTCACCAGGGAAAGCCCATTTCTCCCGCTCTCCTTCTCTTTCTGCTTTCCCTTTCCTTCTTTTTTTTTTTGAGACAGAGTCTCACTCTCTTGCCTGGGCTAGAGAGCCGTGGCGTCAGCCTAGCTCACAGCAACCTCAAACTCCTGGGCTCAAGTGATCCTCCTGCGTTAGCCTCATGGGTAGCTGGGACTACAGGCACGCACCACCATGCCTGGCTAATTTTTTTTTTTCTATTTTTAGTTGTTAGGCAAATTTCTTTCTATTTTTAGTAGAGACGGGGTCTCGCTCTTGCTCAGGCTGGTCTCGAACTCCTGAGCTCAAACAATCCGCCCGCCTCGGCCTCCCAGAGTGCTAGGATTACAGGCGTGAGCCACCGCGCCCGGCCTCCCTTTCCTTCTTTATGGCTCCCTGCCCCCAGTCCAGGCCCTTTCCTGTTCTTTTCTCCTGCACCTCCAATTTCTAAACAACACCTGATGCTCTCTTTATTTTCAGTCCCTCAGCACTTGAGCCTCTCTAAAGACGATTGTTTTTTCGTCTTGGGCCCTTCCCTCCAGCAGACACCAGCTGTTACTTGCCAGCCTGCATTGGTTTGATTTCAACATGCCAATGAGAGAATTTCTACCTCTCACCAATGAACTGCCTCAGGAAGGAACCTAAATGAGGCTTGAAATCCTTTTTATCTGAGAGGGCAAACAGACGCCTCAGGATCCTGCCCCCTTGGTGGGGCCTGCCTGAATGGTTCTCCTCTTGGCCAGGCTCAAAATACCCCATGCTGTAGCCAAGCTCAGCCAATAGGATGATGCCAACCACTGCGTGCTCTCCCAAAGCCTCCCACTATCACTTTCTGCTTTCCATTTCTGAAAGTAGAGATGTAGACAGCTGTTGAGAATGAGCCATGTACCTGGCAGGTAGCAGCAAAGGGTCCGAAATGGCAGATGATCTCACCTCCCCTGCAAAGGGTGACAATTGCTGTAAAGTGTCTTGGTCTCAGATGTGAAGGCCCCTAAACATAGACTGGAAGCTGAGCTCAGGAGGCCAGCTCATGCATGAAGGAATGCACCCATCTTCCACCTTAAGATATATGCTGTGTGCTCTGCCCTTTGCTATAAAAATCAAGATGGATCAAACAAAACGAGGAAGTCGTCACGTCCTGTCTCTGTGAGGGAAATCATGCGTTGAATTCCCAGGGAAAATGTCCCTCCAGGGCCTCAGAAGGAGGGGAAAGGTATCTGAGAGCTTTGTAGAGCCTGCGAGTGGCAGCAGCTCAGAGCAGGGAGAAAAGGCGCCAGCCAGCTGCCCGAGCTGTCTGGGCAGGTGGAGCTGGGGCTCTTTGGAGACAGGGAGGCTGTGTCTGGCTGACAGAGAATGGACTATAACCTCTACTAACTAAGAGTGAGGAAGGGGCAGTTTCCTACTTCTTTTTTTTTTTTATTTTTTGAGACAGAGTCTCACTCTTTTGCCCAGGCTAGAGTGCCGTGGTGTCAGCCTAGCTCACAGCAACCTCACACTCCTGGGCTCAAGTGATCCTCCTGCCTCAGCCTCACGGGTAGCTGGGACTACAGGCATGCGCCACCATGTCCAGCTAATTTTTTTTTCTATTTTTAGTTGTTTGGCCATTTTCTTCCTATTTTTAATAGAGATGGGGTCTCGCTCTTGCTCGAACTCCTGAGCTCAAACGATCCACCCGCCTCGGCCTCCCAGAGTGCTAGGATCACAGGTGTGAGCCACCACGCCCGGCCAGGTTCCTACTTCTTAACCTGCCACTGACCTCAGGGAAGGTCAAGGAAGAGAGCCTGGGAGCTTTGTCCTTAGTAAAATCT